CCGTTGCTCCTCTCTCTGGCGCGCCTCCACCGTCTCTTCCCACGGACGCCGATCCATCCCGGCCTGGATCTCCTCCCAAGTCCAGGACCCTTTCCCGTCCAATATCTGCTCCCATGTCCAGGCTGCCTGCTCCTGGACACGCTGCTTGGTCCTGTTATGGTGGGATCTTCTGTCACGTTCGTTAGAGTGAGTGGACCAAGGCGCAGCGTGATGAGCGAACATACTTTACTTTATTTAGAGTAACACGAACAAAACAACAAAACGATAACGTGACGTCCAAAAGCGCAAACACAAACCTATACAGGAACAAGATCCCACACCACACTGTGGGAAACAGGCTGACTAAGTATGGTTCCCAATCAGAGACAACAAGCAACAGCTGATTCACGTTGCCTCTGATTGAGAACCACACTGGCCAACATAGAAACACAATAGACTAGAATGAGAACATAGGAACAAAACACATAGACTCTACACACCCTGGCTCAACATATTAGAGTCCCCAGAGCCAGGGTGTGACAAGATCCACAAAGAATTTAAAAACAAACCCAATTTTGATAAACTCCCTTATCTACTGGGTGAAATACCACAGTGTGCCATCACAGCAGCAAGATTTGTAACCTGTTGCCACAAGAAAAGGGCAACCAGTGAAGAACAAACACCATTGTAAATACAACCCATATTTATGTTTATTTATTTTCCCATTTGTACTTTAACTATTTGCACATCGTTACAACACTGTATATAGACATAATATGACATTTGAAATGTCTTTATTCTTTTGAGTCTAATGTTTACTGTTAATATTTATTGTTTATTTCACTTTTGTTTACTATCTACTTCACTTGCTTTGGCAATGTTAACATACGTTTCCCATGCCAATAAAGCCCTTGAATTGAAATTGAATTGAATTGAATTGAGAGAGAGAGAGAGAGAGAGAGAGAGAGAGATAGAGAGAATGAATCCCCTGAGTATGAATGGGGCAGTATCAACTTACTGCCAAGCGAATGGCATCTGAGAAAACAGCATGTAGGTATTTTCCCTTGTTGGGAGCCAGCAGCTTTATTGTACATATCACAGGGGGGTTTTCCTTGATATATTTACAAGATTAGAGTTGTCTTTGTTCCTGCATGTCTACCCAGGGGCCAGGCTAATTGTTATTTTGTTTAGCTTGTCTGAAACTCATATCCTCAGATAGGTGGAGGACAATCAAATCAAATGAAAAATCGAATCAAATGTTATTGGTCACATGTTTCGTAAACAACAGGTGTAGACTAACAGTGAAATGCTGACTCACGGGCCCTTCCCAACAATGCAGAGAGAAAGAAAATAGAGAAATTATAGAAAAGTAAAACATGTAATAATAGATACACAATGAGTAACGATAACTTGGCTATATACACGGGGTACAAGTACCGAGTCGATGTGCAGGGGTACGAGGTAGTTGAGGTAGATATGTACATATAGGTAGGAATAAAGTGACTAGGCAACTGGATAGATAACAAGCAATAGCAGCAGCGTATGTGATGAGTCAAAAAATTTAGTGCAGAAACCGTCAATGCAGATAGTCCGGGTAGCTATTTGGTTAACTATTTGACTAACTATTAAGCAGTCTTATGGCTTGGGGTTAGAAACTGTTCAGGTTCCTGTTGGTTCCAGACTTGGTGCATCGGTACCGCTTGCCTTGCGGGAGCAGAGAGAACATAGTGATAGATCAATAGTGATGTGGACACAGAGTCATCTGAAGCTCTCGACCCGCTCCACTACAGCCCTGTCGATGTGAATGGGTGCGTTCTAGGCCCTCTGTTTCCTGTAGTCCACGATCAGCTCCTTTGCCTTGCTGACGTTGAGGGAGAGGTTGTTGTCCTGGCACCACACTGCCAGTTCTCTGACCTCCTCCCTATAGGCTGTCTCATCATCGTCGGTGATCAGGCCTACCACCGTTGTGTTGTCAGCAAACTTAACGATGGTGTTGGAGTCGTGCGCGGCCACTCAGTCGTAGGTGAACAGGGAGTACAGGAGGGGACTAAGCACGCACCCCTCTGATGGGCTCCGTGTTGCGGGTCAGCGTGGCGGATGTGTTGTCCATGTCCGGTTCCTTACATAACCTCAACTAATAAGGGGTTTAAGGCGTCCCAGCCAAAACAGTTCGGAACATTTTGTGCATACACTGATTTACAAAACATTAAGAACACCTGCTCTTTCCATGACATATACTGACCAGGTGAAGATCTCCTCGGCAAAAACCTCAAAATGAATGACCAATTTCTTGCGTTATCTTAGATTAATTCTGACTATTTTGAGGAAGCGTATACTGGTTATGGTGTCCCAAAATGGACAAACAGCACTATTTACAAGCGAAGGTCTTTTAAGGGAGTATGCAGCACACTTGTTCGGGTTTGCCGAGGTCGGCTAGGCGCCAGTCGAACTGAAGCATGCTGACACCTTTACCCAGTCTACTCTGTTTCATGGCCATTCTCCTTCTTTTCACATTTTGAAGAAGCTTCTATTTTGGGTTCTGATAGGGTAAGACAGTTGATCTAAGCTCATGAGACATTTATAAGATACATTCTTCAAGAATCAATAGCTTTAGCCTATGTAATTCATGTTCAAGTCCAGAAATGCATGTGCCTATTCTGGATTGTGCCTTTTACTGCCTGTGTGGTTTGTGATGCAAACTGGCAGGAACATGAGCTGTCACAACTTGAAATAAAAAATGATATGTGATTCCAGGTGTTCTCAGTAACAGACAATGACTAACCCCTGCTAATCATCAGAATCACCCATCCTTCATTTCTCAAGAAGAATGTATGCCGGTGAGGAAATTGAGAAACACCTTGTGTAGGGAGTAGAACATACAGTTGAAGTAGGAAGTTTACATACACTTAGGTTGGAGTCATTAAAACTTGTTTTTCAACCACTCCACAAATTTCTTGTTAACAAACTCTAGTTTTGGCAAGTCGGTTAGGACATCTACTTTGCGCATGACACAAGTAATTTTTCCAACAATTGTTTACAGACAGATTATTTCACTTATAATTCACTGTATCATAATTCCAGTGGTCAGAAGTTTACATACACTAAGTTGACTGTGTCTTTAAACAGCTTGGAACATTTCAGAAAATGATGTCATGGCTTTTGAAGCTTCTGATATACTAATTGACATAATTTGAGTCAATTGGAGGTGTACCTGTGGATGTATTTCAAGGCCTACCTTCAAACTCAGTGCCTCTTTGCTTGACATCATGGGAAAATCAAAATAAATCAGCCAAGACGTCAGAAAAAAAATGGACGACCTCCACAAGTCTGGTTCATCCTTGGGAGCAATTTCCAAACGCCTGAAGGTTCCATGTTCATCTGTACAAACAATAGTACGCAAGTATAAACACCATGGGACCACGCAGCCGTCATACCGCTCAGGAAGGTGACGCGTTCTGTCTCCTAGTGATGAACGTACTTTGGTTAAAAAAAAGTGCAAATCAATCCCAGAACAACAGCAAAGGACCTTGTGAAGATGCTGGAGGAAACAGGTACAAAAGTATCTATATCCACAGTAAAACGAGTCCTATATCGACATAACCTGAAAGGCCACTCAGCAAGGAAGAAGCCACTGCTCCAAAACCGCCATAAAAATAGCCAGACTACAGTTTGCAACTGCACATGGGGACAAAGATCGTACTTTTTGGAGAAATGTCCTCTGGTCTGATGAAACAAAAATAGAACTGTTTGGTCATAATGACCATTGTTATGTTTGGAGGAAAAAGGGGTGACTTGCAAGCCGAAGAACACATTTACATTTTAGTCATTTAGCAGACACTAACTTACAGTTAGTGATACATTTTCATACTGGCCCCCATTGGGAAACAAACCCACAACCCTGGTGTTGCAAGCGCCATGCTCTACCAACTGAGCTACATCCCAACCGTGAAGCATGGGGGTGGCAGCATCATGCTGTGGGGGTGCTTTGCTGCAGGAGCGACTGGTGCACTTCACAAAATAGATGGCATCATGAGGAAGGAAAATTATGTAAAGATATTGAAGCAAGATCTCAAGACATCAGTCAGGAAGTTAAAGCTTGGTCGCAAATGGGTCTTCCAAATGGACAATGACCCCAAGCATACTTCCAAAGTTGTGGCAAAATGGCTTAAGGACAACAAAGTCAAGGTATTGGAGTGGCCATCACAAAGCCCTGACCTCAATCCTATAAAAAATGTGTGGGCAGAACTGAAAAAGCGTGTGCGATCAAGGAAGCCTACAAACTTGACTCAGTTACACCAGCTCTGTCAGGAGGAATGGGCCAAAATTCACCCAACTTATTGTGGGAAGCTTCTGGAAGGCTACCCGAAACATTTGACCCAAGTTAAACAATTTAAAGGCAATGCTACCAAATACTAATTGAGTGTATGTAAACTTCTGACCCACTGGGAATGTGATTAAATAAATAAAAGCTTAAATAAATCATTCTCTCTACTATTATTCTGACATTTCACATTCTTAAAATAAAGTGGTGATCCTAACTGACCTAAAACAGGGAATTTGTATTAGGATTAAATGTCAGGAATTGTGAAAATCTGAGTTTAAATGTATTTGGCTAAGGTGTATGTAAACTTCCGACTTCAACAGTACATACATGAATAACGCATTACAGTTGACACACGTGGTTCATATTATATATTACCATATTTGGGTCCAGAATTGATCACAAATAAATACAATCAGACAATATTTCTGAGCACCATCATTCTGTTTTATCAGTCCATAATTACTATACATTGATTACTTATTCTGTGACATTACAATTAAAGAGATGAAAATCTCAAATTACCGAGGGATTTTTGACAGGAATAGCTACAAACTGAGGCAAACAAAAATTCACATTTGAAATTACAGTATATTATAGAATTTCAAGCCAGACAAAGGACAAAGGATTCTATGAAAAGTGCTTTTGGTGCATAGAGGAGAGAGGGAGGGAACTTGAAAAGAGAGGAGTGTTTAGGAGGAGGGACTGTGGGGGCCAGCAGGGTTATAAAGTTTGAGCGGCTTCCTCTCTGCCCATGCGTCTGTGTGCTCCTGTTTCTGCCGGCCCACTCTCAACTCTCTTTGCCTCTCTCAATCTCACTTAATCTAACGAAAATGAGTGTCAAACGAAGCAGCGTCAGGGGACCTAGTAGTGGGTACAGCCACTCCATCACGCGCAGCTCTACTGCTCCTGCCTACCGGGCTGCCAGCACCTATGGTGGGGCTGGGGGACAGGGGACCCGAATCTCCTCTGTGTCCTACTCGGGTGTGCGAAGTGGGATGGGAGAGATGGGAGGCTCCGGGGGCTCCATGTCCAGCAGCTTCCAGGTGAGCGCCAGCGGGGACACCGCTCACATCATGGGCAATGAGAAGTTTGCCATGCAGAACCTCAACGACCGTCTGGCCTCCTACCTGGAGATGGTGAGGAACCTGGAGCAGGCCAACGGCAAGCTGGAGCTGAAGATCAGGGAGGCCATGGAGAAGAGAGGCCCAGACGTCAACGACTACAGTCGTTACAACGCCATCTTGGATGACCTGAGGAAGAAGGTGAGAGGCCATGGGGAGGAAGGAGTACTATTGGCTAATATGAGATGCTGGACAAATCTACACCATAGAGTTTTAGGGAAGTAATATATCTTTCAAATGCAAGTTCACTGTCCTAGAATGGCTGACCCAACCGAAGAGAGTAACAGAGTGACAGAGAGTAGTTTGGGAGTGAAAGAGGAAACACAGTGGCCCTACTATATCCTTGTCAGGTTATTGACCTGGGTAGTAAAGACCCAGTGTAGCTGGTTTGTCCATTAGAGCCATGCTGATTAGTGATGGCAAGGTGCCAGCATCCCCAGGCAGAAGGTCAAGAGGCAGACAGAAAGCAATAAGAAGGGGAATTCCAAGGTGTTCTGCTAGCTGACCTTTGACATGGCCAGAGTTCCAGGTCCAGCTAGCATTCTCAGGGGTAATGGATGTGTTTATTTAACTTCCTACTTATCAGTTAGCTGTGTAACATCTGTGGGACACAAAGATGGTTAGCAATGAAACGATTATACAGTAGCATTTCAAATGATTATCTACAATATAACCATCAACAGCACAAGTTTAACCATAAAAGCAGGGAAAATTGTTACAGTTGTAGATAAAGTTAAAAAGGTTATTTTTATATTGTCTCTCAGCTATGGTAAGTGTGTAGCAGTATATTAAATGAGAAAACACCACCATAGACTATAGATGAGAGACAGTTGAACTCCTTACACAGACCCACATACCCACTGGTCAATTCAACGTCTATTCCACGTTGGTTCAATGTAATTTCATTGAAATTAAGTGGGCAAAAAACATTGATTCAACCAGTGTGTGGCCAGTGGGTCTTTTATGGTGTGGTTCTTTCTTACTCATACCTTACACAAGGCTACTATTTCATGGTGTGGTCCTTACTTTGATGGTGGAGTATGGTAAATGAGTTTGGGAGTCAATGTGCTATGTCATTAAAAAGTAGTCCATCTAACCAGGTCATTCCATTCCAATTCCTCTGATAGTGTTCCATGTATATATATATATATATATACACAGTACTGAATTATTGACATATGGGTTTGTAATGCCTTTATGTGTGTATACTGTGGGGCAACCAAGGATATTCCGTGAGTCATTCAACTGGAACTGTTCAGAGCTGCTGATAATTTGGAAGAGGCTAATTATCTGGGGTGGAAAATACTGTTAGACATCTAGTAAACAGTCATCATTATTAGCCTACTGCATCTGCAACAAGTTACTGTTGTACTTTAAACCATACAGTAAATACTGCCTGATAATAAATTATATTTTTAAATAAAAAAACATATCTGAAAAACTCTTTCCATTGGATTCTGGAACATTCCAGTCACGCTTCTGTGGTTTGGCCGTTGCCGTAGCACTTGGCCGTCAAACTGCCCAAAGTGACAGAGTAACTATGCAAAATAGGGAGATTAGATGCCAGATACCAATAGCGAGAGACAAAATGCAAATATATCACAAGACTATCATTACAGAATTTCTGTTGCAAGCTGATTAAACTCCATTCCATGATGAATTAAGTTTCTGATGAACTCCACCAACAGAGTGGAGCAGAGACCAGGCTTTGTGGAATTCAGCTCAGACTACATCGATTCGCCCAAGATCAATACCTTAAAAACATTTTATTACAAAACCTTTACCTTGTTCCTATGTTTGTCCTCTGTAAATGCATGACTTTCTTTGTTTAATAAACGTTAATCAAATACAACCACCGACTGTTTGCTCATTGCTGTCTCACTAAGATGGCAAATCAGCTCAAATGCGCATGTGCCAATTGAATCTCAACAAGGAAACAGTCAGTGGTTGTATTTGATTAGCTTTTATTGAAAAAGTATGGATTTCAGCAAACAAAGAAAGTAATGCATTTACAGAGGACACACATGGGTACAAGGTAAGCATTTCATCGTTTTAATTAAGAATTGACTATGGGCGAATCGATGTAGTCGGAGATGAATTCCACAAAGCCTGGTTTCTGCTCCACTCAGTTGGTGGATTTAATCAGAAACAGAGTTTAGTCAGCTATCTTATTGCTTCACTTTGTCCCTTTGAAAAAAATTCCGAACAAGGACATTGAACTTAACCTTGAAAATGAGAAAAACAAATTGTAAACTGAACATGAGTTGTGTAAATATTTGTTTAATCTGCTGCTCTTGCTATTGCTCGCATTATGAAGCCTTACATACAGGTTTAGGGGAGGAAGGCCTAGGGAGTTAAGCTGATGCTTTACCAACAGCCCATGGTGTCTAATCGACCCCCAACTCCATACATTAAAGTCACAACAGGTTTCTTTTTCTTTGTCGTGATACCAGGATGTGATTGCTATTTCAAATGTTCCTCCTTTACATAAACAAGGCTTCTCACGCCAGGAACAACAGGAAATCCAACCCAGTAACCACCCCTTCCCCTCCCCATCACACACACACACACACACACACACACACACACACACACACACACACACACACACACACACACACACACACACACACACACACACACACACACACACACACACACACACACACACACACACACACACACACACACACACACACACCACACACACACACACACACACACACACACACACACACACACACACACACACACACACACACACACACACACACACACACACACACACACACACACACACACACACACACACACACCCCAACCGGCCACCTGATGCAAATCAGCTGCCTCCATCCTGACATGTATTCCACTGCACTTACAGCTTGGCTGTTTGTTAATGATTGCCTCCCGAACTTTGTAACCCGCATCCATCCATCCTCACCCTTATCTACTGTACCATGGAGAGCAAACACTGCGGCTGTGGGGCAGCTGGCCTCCGCTGCTCCTGGCTGCCACTGTCACCAGCCTTCTCACTTTCATACCAATTACACAAAAGTACAGTATTGAAACGGCAAAAAAAAAAAAATTTAATCGTGTGTTGACTTTAACTTCTTTTGTCCTTGTCATTGGCAGGTGTTCGATGCCACAACAGACAACGCCCGTATGTGTCTTCAGATCGACAATGCCCGCTTAGCTGCAGATGACTTCAGGGTGAAGTAAGTCAAGCTAGGCAAGGCACTAAACAAGCAGACAGTTGCTGACACACCTTAATTAACGGTAACTAAACAAACACTGTTGATGTGCCACATTATCTGCATCCCCTCCGTGCTATACAGTCTATGCTTTAAAAGGTCCAAAGCAGCCGTTTTTATCTCAATATCAAATCATTTCTGGGTAACACTTTTAAGTACCTTACTGTGATTGTTTTCAATTAAAACGTTCAACTGAAACAAAAATAGATTCTTAGCAAAGAGACATTTCTCAATAAATAATTTAGCTAGGATTTTCTGGCAGTGGTCTGAGTGGGGAGGGGAAAACTGACAACTACCTGTTTTTGACAGAGAGGTTTGGAACTCTCTTTCTTATTGGTCTATTAACCAATTTACCGTCTGGTGATATCACCAGGCAGGCAAAACTCCATTCCACCAAAACAGGCTGAAATTTCAGTATGGAAGTATATATAAAACAAAACACAGGAAAATCATGTTTTTGACTGCACTTAGCCTTTAAACTGACACTTTTGAGAATATTTCACCATAGCTCTCCAGGGCATTGTATCTGATGCTGTTTGCTGTGTGTTGCAGGTTTGAGTCTGAGCTGTCCATTCGCCAGTCTGTGGAGGCTGACATCGTTGGCCTGAGGAAGGTCATAGATGACACCAACATGGGCCGCATGAACCTGGAGAGCGAGATCGAAGCTCTGAAGGAGGAGCTCATCTTCCTGAAGAAGAACCATGACAGCGTAAGCTCACCATGGCCCAACCCCCCCTTTCAACCACCAAACCACTATAGTACACAACCCCACCCCTCTTGTACCACCAAACAAATATTTACCATCTCCCTTGTCATTACAATGGCTTAGCAAGAGCAAGACCTAGCATGCCAACATCGGAGACAGAGTCAACCATACTGTATAAACAGGGGGTGTTTCGTGTGAGAACTTTTAGATTTAGCAGGGGTGCGGTGGGTGCGGCATACCCATTGGACGCACCCAGGGGGCCCCTTGAGTACCCAAACAAACAGCCTAAATACAGATGCTGACTTCACTCTTGAAAACATATTGCTTAATGAATGTTAATGTTGTTGTCATTCTACCCCAACAGGAGGTGATGGAGATGCGTAACATGATATCCCAGTCTGGAGTGCAGGTGGACGTGGACGCTCCTAAGGGCCAGGACCTGGCCGCCATCATGGCTGAGGTCCGGGCCAAGTACGAGAAGGAGGCCCTGAAGAACCAAGAGGAGCTCAAAGCATGGCATGAAACACGGGTAACACTTACCAGCTTATTATTTTACCCCACTGATGACTTCACAGTGAAACCATCACAGAAACTCTTACTTAACCAATGATTTTTAAACGGACATCTGTATCACCTCTATGTCCCTTCCAGATCACAGAGGTGCAGTCCGTGGTGTCACAGAACACAGAGGCCCTCCAGGGCGCACACACAGAGATCAATGACCTCCGCAGACAGCTACAGACACTGGAGATCGAGCTGGACTCACAGAAGAGCTTGGTAAGATCCCTCAACAATACTATATTCACCAAGCCAGTGTGTACAAAATACATCATGGCATCAATGCTATTGGGTAAAGGAAAACTCCACCCAAAAACGATATTTTGGTATTTGTTTAAGTAGTCCATTGTTGATATAGTCCAAAAATGTTTTACATGTCAGCCGTATTTCTGTATTTTGAAAGTGATATATCTTGAAAACTTCATTGCTGACATGCAACACATTTTGGGACAATGGACTAATGAAACAAATACCAAAAGGTCGTTTTTGGGTGGTGTATTCCTTTAAGTTCATGTTAATTTACAAGGCCAAACACCAAGGCCAAACACCAAGGCCAACCACCAAGGCCAACCACCAAGGCCAACCACCAAGGCCAACTGACTGTCTTTACTCTTCCTCTCTAACAGAAAGGATCCATGGAGGGAACGCTGCGAGACACAGAGATGCGCTACAACATGGAGATGGAATCCTTGAACAAGATCCTCATGGGTCTGGAGTCTGAGCTGACTAACCTCCGCTCCAACATCCAGCAGCAGACGCAGGAGTACGAGCACCTGCTCAACATCAAGATGAAGCTGGAGGCGGAGATCGCCACATACAGGAGACTGCTGGACGGAGGAGACTTCAAGTGAGTAACACAGACGGACAGAGAGCATTAATTGGTGTTGCATGCATAATTACTACAATTAAGCAGACTTGAGAAAGAGAATGAACATGAGGTTTGTTGCTGGCCAAGAGCCTACTGTGGTAAATAGTAATCTAAAGGCCATTTTCTATCTTGGAGGCAAAAGTAGCCATTGTATAAATATTTTTACGTTGACTGATAGTTGTGAAGCTCTCTCAATTCAATTTGCTTTATTCTCTCTCTCTCTCTCTCTCTCTCTCTCTCTCTCTCTCTCTCTCTCTCTCTCTCTCTCTCTCTCTCTCTCTCTCTCTCTCAGGCTCCAGGATGCTCTGGAGGACCAGCGGACAGTGAAGACCAAGGTGATGACCGTCACACAGACCCTGGTTGACGGGAAGGTTGTCTCCTCCAGCACAGAGACCAAGGAGAGGAACCTGTGAGACTACACCCATCGTTCCCCGTGGACCTGATTGTACAACACCATCCAACACACCATAGACATAAGATAACATCTAGCTGGATACGAAGAAAATGATCTCCAGTTTACTTACGTCGTCATGTTTCTTTTGCTTTTGGGTCTGAAGTGTTTTTTATCTTAAGCATTTAGGCGTATATACCTTTACAGTGCTAGTTCAGAATTTAGTAATTTGGGATGAAATTTGGGCGTTAACCAATATGATTTTACCCTTAAAACTAGCAAATCTGTAAACGTTATTTTTCTACCATCGTCATCTTAGTTTTCTTTGTGTCCAGTTGAATTTGCCTGGTGTGATGTACTTTCATTGTCCAATAAAACGTTTATCAGAATCTTGGCTATTGTCTTTTAATGCACTTGCTGTGTAACTGAACAAACAGGTTTTCACTTCTCACGGATTGTGGTTAATGTCGTCATAGCAACTTTACTACAACAAATTGACACCAATAATAAATGCACATTGAACAGAGAAGGAAATCATTTGCCCAGATCAGAAAGATGGAAGTCATATTTGCTCTATATTCTATATATAGTTAGTTCTGTTACTTACTGATAGTGCTTTACAAAATATCACATATATGACCGACCGGCTTGATTCGGTCTTATGTAACAACATTTGAAATTGTGTTTTTTACATTGGATAAAAGTAGAGACTCAGAGCTAGAAAATTGTATATCATACACTACAGTTGAGGAACAATGGGAAAGTAATTCTGCTTTGAAAGTTGATAAACTTGTAACCTCACTTTTGAGAAAATGGCCCTTGAATGTTTTGGTACTACTACAGTAGTGAGTCCATACATTGTCATGCTTTTTCACACAGGTCCCCTATGGGAATTGAACCCACAACCCTGGCCATGCTCTACCAAATGAGCCACGTGGTGAAGGTAATATTTGCTCTATGGGTTAGCTCTGAGTCGGAGGGGTTGGGTTAAATGCGGAAGACACATTTCAGTTGAATGCATTCAGTTGCACAACTGACTAGGTATCCCCCTTACCCTTTCCTTTCCTTTGCTATTGATAGAGGATTACAATGGAACAGCAGTTGACTTTCAATATTCTGAATGACTTCTGAATAAGAGTCTATAACTGATGCATTAAATACAGTACATTTGCTATCTACAGTTCAACCTGACATAATTGGCATAAGTTACCCTTTCCCCTGCCTCGTTTCCCATAGTTACCAAACCACAGTTATCATGGGGGTGTGGAGGTGGAGAGGACATAGTCTATGTAGGAGACTAAAGGTTAGAAAGTGATAATGATCGAATGGAGTGGCGCGTCGGAATGCAGCCTTGTATATAAAAACTCTAACCTCCATGCTCCTCGCGCTCAATAGGATCGATCTGTGCCAGTGTCAGGTGGGTCTCTGTTTTGCTAATCTTCTTCTCTCTTTCTTGGATTTCCTCTCCGAAGACATGGAGTCTGTAAGTATCAGGAAGTATCCTGGATTTACTGGGTATCATGCTGAGAGTGGCAGTGGAGGCCTATACGCAAAGCAATGGAGCTCACAGAGTGCCCATGGCGGTGCTGGGGGACATGGGACCAGAATCTCCTCTGTCCAAACCAGCAACAGGCTCGGGGGCTTCAGAGGAGGGGCAGGGTACCAGGTGTACACAGGTGTTACAGCGATTGATGGTGGCTTCGCTATCGGTAATGAGAAGCTCAACATGCAGCACCTGAATGACCGTCTGGCCTCCTACCTGGAGTCAGTGAAGAACCTGGAGCAGGCCAACGGCAAGCTGGAGCTACAGATCAGGGAGGTCCTGGAGAAGAAAGGGCCTACTGGGGCAGACTACAGCCGCTACGATGCCACGCTGGTGGACCTGAGGAAGAAGGTGAGGCCCTCAAATAATTCAATTCAATTCAAGCTTGATTCATACAAGGTATTTTCGTACATTTGTGTGTGGAATCATATCCTGACCAGGGTTGGGGTCAATTCCATTTCAAATCCAGTCAATTCAGAAAGTAAACCAAATTCCAATTCCACATTTTCCTCATTGAAAATCTCTGTTTTTTGGGGGGTACTTCCAGAATTGACTGGAATTTAAATGGAATTGACCCCAACCATGATCCTGACTGCTCCAAACCACCCCTACTGTATGGTTAATTGAGTTGCCCCACTCATTAATCTCACAATATTTACAGCCAGTGTTTCTCCAATACCCCCAAAAGTACACATTTTTGCTGTAACCTCGGACAAGCACTCCTGATTCAACTTGTCAACTAATCATCAAGCCTTTGATGAGTAGAATGAGGTGTGTTTGTCTGGGGCTACAATAAAAATGTGTACTGTTGGGGTTACTGGAGGACTGGAGTTGGGACATACTGTCTTAAACCTTTTATTAGGTGAGGTATCACAGAACCACCCCACAGTAAACTGATATGATTTACAGCGTGTCTTATCAGAGGTACAGCGTGTCTTATCAGGGAGTGTCACTTTGTTTCTAGCGGCACAAAGATGGAGTGATGGGACAAGTTTCTGTTGCTCCACCCTGTAGAACAGATCCACAGATTTACAGAATTTGTATTGTCCCTCTACTCCCACTAATATTTCCTCAGATATTGGAGATGACAGTGGGCAATGCACAGATCGCTATCCAGGGTGACAATGCCCGCCTAGCCGCAGAGGACTTCCGGGTCAAGTGAGTGCTTGTAAACAAAGAAATGTGTTACTTGCTATTATCATCTGTTGGCATGAATCTATAGTTCCAACATTCTTTGTTTATGGCTATGTCCACGTGTTTACATTCTTAATGTTGTTGTCAATAGGCTTGAGAGTGAGATTGGGATGCGCCAGACTGTCGAGGCTGATGTCGCAAATCTGAGGAGAATACTTGATGACACCAACGTGCTCCGGCTGCATCTGGAGAACGATATCGAGTTTCTGACAGAGGAACTGATCAACCTGAAGAAGAACCATGCGGTGGTAAGGAATGGTTCCCGTCAACTGACTAATGTTCAGATAGGTTACATAGCTAGGTTACTAACATAACCACCAAGTCATTAACTGAATGGATTTCCTGCAATCTGACTAACATTCAGATAGGTTACATAACTAATAACCACCATGTCATTAACTGAATGGATTTCCTGTTTCCTTTGTGTCAGGATGTGCTGGAGCTGCGTACCCAGATCTCCACGGCTGGAGTGCAGGTGGAGGTGGATGCTGCTAAGGGACACGACCTGGGAAAGATCATGGAGGAGATGAGGGCCAAGTACGAGAAGATGGCCTTGAAGAACCAGGAGGAGCTCAAAGCGTGGCACGAATCCAAAGTACGACTCTGTGCTTCCTTCCTGACACGTTTCAATGTTCTGCACTGTATTACTGTAGGTTAACATGTTGGTGTGTGTGTCCAGATCACAGAGGTGCAGGTCCAGGTGACTGAGAATACGGTGGCCCTGAAGGAGGCACACACCACATGCAGTGAAAACAGGAGGGGTATGCAGTCCCTGCAGATTGAGCTTCAGTCCCAGATCAGCCTGGTAAGAATGATTGTTTTATACAATAGCTACCAACCTATTTAATAATGAACTCATTCTTGGTGGATCCACCCTACGATTTGCTTCTATGTTTGTGATCATTGTGACCACATGCTTTCCTCCCAACCACAGAAAGCATCTCTGGAGGGGACCCTTCGTGACATTGAGATGCGCTACAACATGGAGTTGCAGAAATACAACGCCGTCCTCCTGCAGCTGGAGGCTGAGCTAACCCAGATCCGCTCCGACATCCAACACCAGACACGGGACTACCAGACCCTGTTCAACATCAAGATACGGTTGGAGGCTGAGATCGCCGAGTACAGGAGGCTGCTGGACGGAGACTTGAAGTGAGTAAAACATGGAGAGGTGACAGGTGGAGCTACATGTCCTGCTTGGTTGGGCTAGTGGAACAACTACAATACCTGAAGGGATCAGGAACTGAGTATGTTGAGATGACGAAATGATGAAGTTACTGGAGCGATACAGCTGTAACTAAAAGCTTATCATTAAACGGCTGGCCTTGTTCTATTGTTTACTTGTTATTATATGAGGCATAGGAATATTTGCAAATTAGATGCAAACTAGCTTCATGCAACTATGCACAAGGGCTCAGGTCTGATATGGAAACGACTGTGTTGTAGTTATGGTATCTGTCTTTTCATCTGTGTCTCTTTAGAGTTGAGGTTGCTGTCGAGAAGAAACCTACTAAAGCTTTCCGAACAAAGACGCTGGTTGTAACCCAGACACTGGTGGATGGCAAAGTAGTGTCTGAAGGAGTGACTGAGGATGTCAAATCTGAAGGAGTGATTGAAGCTGTCCAAGGATAACCACCCAGTCAAGAAACAACTTCTCTCTCATCATCATCATCACCCCCATTATCATCATCATCATGACACACCACAACACTCCCAGAATAACAGTTCATTGTATAAAAAATAAAAGATAAAAGACCAATGAAACAATCACAATAAATGAAGTCAAACACTTAATATAATGGTTGTATGTGTATGTCTTTATATTCATCTACTGTACCAATCAGTGCAGATCAGTTGGTTTCCTCTCTAAATGCATACAGAAAATAAATGCTAAATTAGGGCTCCATTCAATCTGTATCGCTGAAGGAAATCTGCAGTGTTTATCAAATCAAATCAAGCTTTATTTATATAGCACATTTCAGACATGGAATGCAACGCAATGCGCTTCACAGGAAAAAAACTGAAATGAAAAACTATGAAAATATAAATATTTACTAGACAACAAACATAAGAGGATAGAAAACAAAAGAATATCAATAAAAACTGAATGTCTAAAAAGCACCCTGAGGAAAAGCAAAGCTACAAAGGTGTGTTTTAAGATCTCTTTTAAATATGTCCACAGATTCGGCCCCCCTCAGGTTCTCTGGCAGGCTATTCCAGAGGCAATGAAGTCTCCACTAACACAGGAACATTGCCTTTAAATTGAAATCACGCTGTAACACTGAATTTCCATGATACGGATGAAATAGAGCCCATGATGTGACGTGGAACGCAACGTAAACATAAACCCCACAGAGTTATACAGCTTTAAATAATTGTCTCTATGCCACTTAGCACACCCCATCCAGCTCTATTCCTGGTCTAGCCAGATAAATGTGTTTCTAGCAAGTTCTCAGGAATTCTGGGTTCATTCTACATTTTGACTCAACATTCTCTCTCTGGGCCTCCATTCCCATGCTATTTCATTACTCACAGCCCACTCTTTTCCTGCACATTAGCTAGTCTGCACTTTGTAAAGCTGTCCTCCTCACACACACATATATGTGTTGTTATAGCCAGAGATCCCTAGTGTTGTAAAGCTGTCCTCCTCACACACACATATATGTGTTGTTATAGCCAGAGATCCCTAGTGTTGTAAAGCTGTCCTCCTCACACACACAGATATGTGTTGTTAGAGCCAGAGATCCCTAGTGTTGTAAAGGTGTCCTCCTCACACACACAGATATGTGTTGTTAGAGCCAGAGATCCCTAGTGTTGTAAAGGTGTCCTCCTCACACACACAGATATGTGTTGTTAGAGCCAGAGATCCCCAGCCGCCTTGCATTAGAGAGATGGAAGCAGAGCAGCGAGTGTATCAGGGAGATTGAGCATGCCAGGCTAATTCCAGAGACAGTGTGCAGAATCTCTATACTGCATACCTGCCATTCTTCTGCATCACTGGGCTCCACTGGACTCTCCTGCCAGGAGATTACCCCTGGCCATCAAAGGTGAGCCCTTATTGGTCCACAGAGATCAGATACGCTGTTATTCTGTCGCTTATCCTGTCAAATTCAAAGGAATACACAGGAATATCCATGGAGTTTTTCCTTGGAGGAAAGAGCTCTATTATAATCATTAAATTGTGACATATAGTAATATATTACAGTAGCAGAGAGATGTCATACAGTAATATATTACAGTAAGAGGGAGTTGTCATACAGTAATAATTACAGTAAGAGGGAGGTGTCCAGACATTATATATTACAGGATAGGAAGTGAGGTGTTCCATACAGTGAATATAAATTACAGTAGGAAGGGAGGTGTCATACAGTAATATATTACAGTAGAAGGGAGGTGTCAATCATTATATATTAATCAGTAAAGGGAGGTGTCATACAGTAATATATACTGTAGCGGAGATGTCATATCGTAATATATTACAGTATAGGGAGGTGCATCAGTAATATATTACAGTAGGAAGGATGTGTCATAAATAATATTACAGTAGGAGGGATGTGTCCATACGTATTATATTACATTAGAGGGAGGTGTCATACGTAATTATTACAGTAGGAGGGAGGTGTCATAACAGTAATATCGTACAGTATAATGGATGTTCCATACTAAGAATATTACAGTAGAAGGAGTTCATACAGTAATATATTACGTAAGATGTGAGGTTCATAACAGTAATATATTACAAGGTAGGAGGGAGTGTCCATCCGTAGAAGGGAGGTGTCATACAGTAATATATTACAGTAGATGGGAGGTGTCATACAGTAATATATTACAGTAAGAGGGAGGTGTCATACAGTAATATATTACAGTAAGAGGGAGGTGTCATACAGTAATATATTACAGTAAGAGGGAGGTGTCATACAGTAATATATTACAGTAGGAGGGCGGTGTCATACAGTAATATATTACAGTAAGAGGGAGGTGTCATACAGTAATATACTACAGTAGAAGGGAGGTGTCATACAGTAATATATTACAGTAGGAGGGAGGTGTCATACAGTAATATATTACAGTAGAAGGGAGGTGTCATACAGTAATATATTACAGTAGGAGGGAGGTGTCATACAGTAATATATTACAGTAGGAGGGAGGTGTCATACAGTAATATATTACAGTAGAAGGGAGGTGTCATACAGTAATATATTACAGTAGGAGGGAGGTGTCATACAGTAATATATTACAGTAGAAGGGAGGTGTCGTACAGTAATATATTACAGTAGAAGGGAGGTGTCATACAGTAATATACTACAGTAAAAGGGAGGTGTCATACAGTAATATATTACAGTAGAAGGGAGGTGTCATACAGTAATATATTACAGTAGAAGGGAGGTGTCATAAAGTAATATATTACAGTAGAAGGGAGGTTTCATACGGTAATATATTACAGTAGAAGGGAGGTGTCATACAGTAATATATTACAGTCGAAGGGAGGTGTAATACAGTAATATATTACAGTAGGAGGGAGGTGTCATACAGTAATATATTACAGTAGAAGGGAGGTGTCATACAGTAATATATTACAGTAGAAGGGAGGTGTCATACAGTAATATATTACAGTAGGAGGGAGGTGTCATACAGTAATATATTACAGTAGAAGGGAGGTGTCATACAGTAATATATTACAGTAGGAGGGAGGTGTCATACAGTAATATATTACAGTAGAAGGGAGGTGTCATACAGTAATATATTACAGTAGGAGGGAGGTGTCATACAGTAATATATTACAGTAGAAGGGAGGTGTCATACAGTAATATATTACAGTAGAAGGGAGGTGTAATACAGTAATATATTACAGTAGGAGGGAGGTGTCATACAGTAATATATTACAGTAGAAGGGAGGTGTCATACAGTAATATATTACAGTAGAAGGGAGGTGTCATACAGTAATATATTACAGTAGGAGGGAGGTGTCATACAGTAATATATTACAGTAGAAGGGAGGTGTCATACAGTAATATATTACAGTAGGAGGGAGGTGTCATACAGTAATATATTACAGTAGAAGGGAGGTGTCATACAGTAATATATTACAGTAGAAGGGAGGTGTCATACAGTAATATACTACAGTAGAAGGGAGGTGTCATACAGTAATATATTACAGTAGAAGGGAGGTGTCATACAGTAATATATTACAGTAGAAGGGAGGTGTCATAAAGTAATATATTACAGTAGAAGGGAGGTGTAATACGGTAATATATTACAGTAGAAGGGAGGTGTCATACAGCAATATATTACAGTAGAAGGGAGGTGTCATACAGTAATATATTACAGTAGGAGGGAGGTGTCATACAGTAATATACTACAGTAGAAGGGAGGCGTCATACAGTAATATACTACAGTAGATGGGAGGTGTCATACAGTAATATATTACAGTAGAAGGGAGGTGTCATACAGTAATATATTACAGTAGGAGGGAGGTGTCATACAGTAATATATTACAGTAGGAGGGCGGTGTCATACAGTAATATATTACAGTAGAAGGGAGGTGTCATACAGTAATATATTACAGTAGGAGGGAGGTGTCATACAGTAATATATTACAGTAGGAGGGAAGTGTCATACAGTAATATATTACAGTAGAAGGGAGGTGTCATACAGTAATATATTACATTAGGAGGGAGGTGTCATACAGTAATATATTACAGTAGGAGGAGAGTATCATACAGTAATATATTACAGTAGAAGGGAGGTGTCATACAGTAATATATTACAGTAGGAGGAGAGTATCATACAGTAATATATTACAGTAGAAGGGAGGTGTCATACAGTAATATATTACAGTAGGAGGAGAGTATCATACAGTAATATATTACAGTAGAAGGGAGGTGTCATACAGTAATATTTTACAGTAGAATGCAGGTGTCCTACAGTAATATATTACAGTAGCAGGAGAGTATCATACAGTAATATATTACAGTAGAAGGGAGGTGTCATACAGTAATATATTACAGTAGGAGGGAGGTGTCATACAGTAATATATTACAGTAGAAGGGAGGTGTCATACAGTAATATATTACAGTAGAAGGGAGGTGTCATACAGTAACATATTACAGTAGAAGGGAGGTGTCATACAGTAATATATTACAGTAGAAGGGAGGTGTCATACAGTAATATATTACAGTAGAAGGGAGGTGTCATACAGTAACATATTACAGTAGAAGGGAGGTGTCATACAGTAATATATTACAGTAAGAGGGAGGTGTCATACAGTAATATATTACAGTAGAAGGGAGGTGTCATACAGTAATATATTACAGTAGGAGGGAGGTGTCATACAGTAATATATTACAGTAGAAGGGAGGTGTCATACAGTAATATATTACAGTAGAAGGGAGGTGTCATACAGTAATATATTACATCAGGAAGGAGGTAATGCCGTCTCGGCTACTGTCTTTGCTTGGTCATATATTTGGCTTCGCTCTGGGCTGTTTGAGGCCAGTCATGATCAGTGTTACAACCAGACTGGAATGAGATTTAGAACCAGTAAAGTACTCTAAAATGGAATGGAATGAAAGAAATTCCGTGCAAAGAAGAGATAGCCAAAGACTAGACAGTGCAGTAAAGTACTTAGTAGA